CCCCAAAACCCCAAAACCCCAAAACCCCAAAACCCCTATAGACTCAACTCAAGTTGACTTATTATAAATAATAAAGCCTTTTGGAAAAGATGAGATTAGGAACAACTATACTACTGTCCTTATTATTTGCCCAAGCGATCTTTGCTGCTACAGTTACCACCAACAAATTTGGATCTCTTGAGGTTACTAAAGAGTCCGAAGACATTCTTGAAAAGGAAGTCTTCTTCTCAGAAGATGCCCAATACTATGACTACGTTCATAGATCCGAGCATCTGTTGAATACGATAGATCAGGCCAAGAAAAATAAGCTCAATCTGAGAAGAGATATTACCACTTGTGAAACAGAATCTGCTTTCGGCCCAACTGATGAATTCCAGTTCACTCCAATTTTTGTAGGAAAGCTTCTCAATGACGAATCCGAAGTTTCTTACGAAGGTCAATGCTTCAAGCAAATTAAATTCACAATGGAGCATGTTGGAGAAGACTCTGTCAAGGTCCATATCGATGCTAGAAAGAAGAGAAGCACTTTCTGTAAGGAAGCACTTTTCCTTTCTACTACTGTCAGACATCATGTTGAATATCTTTTCCTGGAAAGAAAGCATACTATCACCTTCAAAAATCTCGATGCTGATGACTTCATAGACTTAGACCTCGGAGGTATCAGGATGTATCTGTTCTGCCACAGCATCACTGAGAGTTTCATGTCGGTTTTCAACACCTTGAAGCTATTCATTGGAGGACTTGGGCTAAATCCAAAGTATCCAGTCATTGGATCTCATGTCCCAGAATATATGCAACAAGCCAATCGTCACTTTATTAAAGAAGTCTTCGGATGGGAAATGGAAGAAAGGGAGACCAGAGAAGTTGTCCTTGACGAATCCTACATTCATGATGGTGATTTCCTAGCCATTACCAGACTTGACGGACTTGATGAGATCATCATGTGGGGAACCGGAAGTCACGTTGGTCACTCTACCATGGCTCTCTGGATCGATGACGAATTGCACATTGTTGAGTCACAAGACGGATGGTATTGGCCAAAGAGCAATATCCAGAGAAATACTTATAAACAATGGATTGAGTGGGCTAAGAACTGTGACTTCAACGTCATCCTCCTTCCACTCAAGGATGAGTACAGAGAGAAGTTTGACAATGCTGCTGCCGTTGAATTCTTCGAAACCATTGAAGGCATGCCTTATGGATACCATAACTTCCTCTTCGGTTGGATCGATACTCCAGATGATAACTATCCACCAGCTTTGCCAGCTGAATTTATTGGCATTGCCTTTGAGCTGTTCTCTGAACTCCTTCCTTCAGTCATTAACTCCTTCTTCGTTGAAGCAATGAACCAAAGATTAGGAACTGAGGGATACAACTTCAAGCAAGTCGTGTATGAAGCTGCTAAGAGAAACAAAACTCTTGTACAGCTCATGGCTGAGCCCGAAATTGACGGATGGATGTACTCTGACGGATACAGTTATGTCTGTAGTTCCTTCCTCATCGCTATGTACAAAGCTGCCAATCTCTTCCCAGGAATGGAGATCCAAGGAACTGAGTTCGGACCTAAGGACGTCTATCAATTGAATATTTACAACTCTACTGCAGTACTTCCAGAGCAATGTAAGGCTGCTGATCCAGACTTGCCATACTGCCAGATCCTTGGTAGATACAGATTGGAACTTGAAGGATACTCCACTATCGAGCCATACAGCCACATGAATGAAAACTGTCCTTCAGTATATCCAGAATACGTCAGACCTGATGGGTGCTAACTTTGGACAAGTTTCAATGCTAATTTTCCTAAACGGGGTTTTGGGGTTTTGGGGTTTTGGGGTTTTGGGG